GGCCCTATTGGGATGAGTTTGTACAGTACAAGACTTCGGAAGAGGGTGTGAGTCGGGTGATAAAGAACCAACGTAATGCCCAACAGAAGACATACCACCATAACTTGGGATCAGGTGGCTACCCGACTGCCATTAAGAAGTGGAACAAAATGGAAGCAGACCTTCTTGCCAAGGGTATCAGACCAGAATCACTCGAGTGGGGAGAACGTGCAAAGAATTGGTTTTTCGGTCATGGGGGAACACTAGACCAGGAGACAGGGAAGTGTGTTTATGGCGCAAGACTGCAAGAAGCAGCAGAAAGATTGTTTTATACTCAGAGAGCTACTGCTAGTGGTGCGTTCAGGCCCAACAGAGAGAAGGATGAGCTGACATACGCCATCGGGACTATTGAACATGGTGGCCGAACTAGAGGCAAAGGAAGTGTCTCATGGGAGCATGGATTCCCTCGGGACAGACCTTCCTACAGAAGTCACCAGAGAAAGAAGGAAGAAGAGGCACAGCGGCTCCAGAGGTTGGAGGAAGCGGTGCGTGAAGCACAGGAGCGGGAAAAAAACCTTGAAGCGAGAATGCAGGAGGAAATCAGAAGGCAAGTGCAAATAGCAGTGAGTGCAAGCAAGCAGGCATCAGAGCCAGGAATCAACATTAGCCAATCTATTCAGTTGAAAAGCAGCTGCGCTTCCACAAAGATACCAAATCAAGGGGACACAGGACTGCGCTTCCCTGTGGATGACGTCACTGAACATTGTACAACGTGTGAGCTACACATTCCGAAGGAGAATTCCACAATCAAGGTGGCTATCGGTCTTGTTAATCCTATCGACTGAACCAAGACACCAAGGATTCATGGGAATATAATCCAAGAAGGATATGCTACCATCTCGGTAGATAAAGCTGAAAAAGGTTTTAGTGATTTGCCTCTTGACATTCCTGGAGGTGATGGCGAGAAGACTCTAGGAGAAGCGGAGAAGACATTCATTCTATGGCGCAAGCGCTACATCATCATTTTAGGGATGTCGGCTCCACTTCCTCCTGAACTACCTCACCATAGGTACGTGCGGATGAAAACACTACATCATTAATTTGTATTGGCTTAAATCCTTTTTTTGTAGCAGATCCTACCCCAACCTAAATCCAATTGTTCAATCGCCAGATCATCATAGTGCTCTGTACGATGACATTGTGTTGGAAGGCGAGGCTGCATCCACACCATCTCCAAGGAGGTCTCCAACGCCGCAGCCGCCACCTCCAAGGAGGTCTCCAACGCCTCCCCCGCCCCCGCCTACCAAGAAGCCTAGCAAGAGGCCAGCCCCTCAAACGAAGAACCAGTCCCCGCCTGCAAAGAAAGCCACCGTGAAACCAAGGGCTATTCCCAAAATAATATCTGAAGAGAAGGAAGAAGGAACTGATGCATATAAAAAAGACATGTCTAGATTCTATGACAAACTTAAAATGAATCAAGAAGCAAGGAGAAACCCGGAGAAACCGTACTTCTTCGTAGCTCCAGATATTCTAAGAAAAAAGGTGACTTCTTACCAGCAACAACAGCGAGAATCTCGTAAGCCGTCCAAATCAACATTATCGGACTATGACCGCACTCTCACCAAGTCAATTGAGGCGGCTAAGAAAAAGAAGCGGACAGGGAAATGAGTTGCCCAACTCGGACAACAAGCGCACCAATCAATCCCCCGCTAGTTGTTGGTAATGAATATGGTTCGAATTTAGGATTAATGCATCAGGCAAACATACCTCCAGATGTCGATTTGGATCACCTTGGTGAATTTCTTGATGAGACTGGTCTCGACCTTTACCAGATGTTTGGTGATGGAAACATTGAGAGTGCGGCGGAGGTTGATATTTGGAAGAAAAAATTTGTACTAGGCCAGAGTCTATACAACCCTCAAGCCTTATCTGATCTGGGGACGCAAATGTACCTGCTAAACAAGTGGTACATGCAGGCGTCTACCGGTGGAGACTTCTGTGTTGGTGTCAGAATTAGAGACGAACATTGGTTCCGTGGCGATGATGTTATGTATGTTGACTTTGCAGAATTTCATCAACTATGCCACCTGACCTCTCTGGACAAAGTTATCATTAGCTGCTATTGCCTATAAGTAATAATTCTTTCGATCTATTATTAAACTCATCATATGTGTGTATATGCATAAAAATTATCCTAACAAGTACTATATATATGTAGATTTACAATGACAGAGCTCAGAAAGGAAGGCTACAATGAAATTGGTTTTGTTGATCCCCATATAGTATTCAAAGACCCAATTACTCCAAAGACTAATTGGAAGTCTGAGTCAGAGAGTAACCTCATGAACTTCTTAGTGAACCAACGCCACAAGAAGGATATACTCTTTCCCTATAACTTCAAGTGAGTGTTAATCATGTCGATCATCCTTAATGGCTTATATGTTGATTCTAGTTAATTAATGAGTGTTATGCGTTATATCCTATAAACACATGCAGCAATCACTGGATATTGATGGACATCGATCTGGTGAAAAGTCACTTGATAATCTATGACTCGATGAAAAAACCACAACAAGACTACCAAGATATGATATATATTATCCAGAGGTAATTTCGGGATCTCTAGCAACTATATATACACACAAACATGATGATTAACTATATCTGATGACATGGCAAATTTTTTATTGGGCAGTGTTTGGAAAACCTTTATTGAGAAGCAACACATGGAAAAATGCAAAGCGCCACTGAATGTAATCCCTTTGAAAGTAAGTCCCCTGAATCGCATGATCTTTATTAATTAAACATATAGCTTTCACCGGATCACCAGATTGGATGACAAATCTTTTTCTCGTAAAGTGGTGTCTGAGGCAGGAACAGGGGAACAACTACTGTGGTTACTATGTTTGCAAGTTTATCAAGGTGGTCTCCCAAAGAACTCCTACAGAGAGACTCAAAGTACGTTAAAAATACACTATTCATTTAATTATTATTATTGATTGTGTTACTATGTCTTTATATATATATGTACATATATTAATTTATTTTCCTTTAATTCAAACCTGTAGACTCGATGGTTGGAGGAAAAGGTCATACGGCAAGACCAAATCAAAGTAATTCAAGAGTCTATAGCCGGATTTTTTAATGAGCAGGTCATCAATTCCAAGGGCGAGTTCTACTTCGACCCAACACTGCCATTGAAGCCAAGCTAGAGGATGAGAGGAAACTTGTTGTGTCACAACAACTGTAATGCAATCTTTTGTAATATATGCACATGAAATAATATAATGTAAAATACACATATGCATGCATGCATGTAAATATATATATGATGCATGCATGCATATATATATATATATATTTCTATGCTTGAATTGTGTGATTTAATACGTTCATTGTGCTTGAACCAAAACATACTATACGCGCGTATAAATGTATAATTAGCAGCGTACAATACGACTTCGAAAACCTATTTTGAAAAGAAAACAAAAAAATGAAAAGAAAAGAAAAAAGAAAAAAACCTTTAGTCCCGGTTCGTATTACCAACCGGGACTAAAGGTGCCGGCCATCGTGGCATGTCAGGAGGCACCTTTAGTCCCGGTTGGTGTTACCCACCGGGACTAAAGGTCCTCCTTTAGTCCCGGTTCCTGACCCGGGACTACAGGACCCCCCTTTAGTCCCGGATGCTTGCTCCCGGGTGGGGAACCGGGACTAGAGGGGGTTCCCCACCGGGAGTAAAGCTCTGTTCTCTACCAGTGACAGTTTGTCTCTGATTTCGCCATAACAGGTCACTGCATGCACAGTAAATATCGCGTTTTTTGCAATTTGGCCTTTTCCTTAAAAGAATTTTATATTTTGATCCATGGGCAAACTAATAATTCTAAAAATAGACTCCTAGGAGGGACATCATGACCTTTGGTGCCTCGATCATACAAAGAGGTATCCACACACAAAAGGATATTTAGATCCATGGGCAAACTAATAATTCTAAAAATATTGTGACCGGAGCAATGAAAAGAAGCCTCACTTAGTCCACCAATAGGTATCCACACACAAAGAGTTAGCTCTAGCATCCACTGTCTACCTGCAACATGGGGGAATAAAACTCAGTATACGATGTACTGAGCTAACCTTATTACCTGACTAGGTTGGAGTAGTCTCCTGACTCTCAAGGATATTTTTTTCCATATATTTTGATAAGTAGATTTTATAGGCTTAGTTTAGTTTTTGTCGCCTAATTTACCATCCTCTTAGAAGTCATGGTCCCAACTAACAATAATATTTTAGCCCGGATCATACGTAAAAATGTGTGAACGGACTTATAAACAAAAGAAAGAGCATAAGAGAAACTCTAGCAATCATAGCTAAATATGGATACACATGTAATAACACAGCTGCAGCAGGATCCCTACTAGAACACCTAAATTTGGGTGGCCACCTAGATTCTCCCTCCGACTCCATTCCTGGGGCTCAGCTTGAGCCCCCCATACTATTGTTGCATTGTACGGAACCGCATGGTGCCTGCTCATCCTCGCTCCATCCTCCTCCCCTGGCGGCCTCCCTCCACTGCGTGGCGCGGCCCCAGCCCTTCACCGCACGGGCACACTGGAGCGGCCCCCGGCTGGCCACATGTGAGCAACAGCGGCAGATCCGGCGGACGCGGCCTTCCGTGCTCCCTCCCACGTGCAGTCACCCGCCGCCTCCTCCGCTGCCGACGGAGCGGCCTAGTGTGCTCCCTCCTGCTTGCACGGCCTGCTGTTGGAGTGGAAGAAAAGAAAATTAGACCAACAAAAGTAGGGGGCACCCAAATTGAAAATAGGACCCTGATGTAGGTGTCCTTGCTGGAATTGTTCTTGGAGCTCATTGACACAAAAAGCAGCTTTCTGGAGCTGTTCCCGATTCCTAAGCAAAATACCTTGTTTTTCTACTCTAGCTCGATGATGGAGTTCTGAAGTGGAGCAGTCACGGACAAGGCATTTGAAATATATAATCACTAAATTGGAGGCGTATAAGCAGGTCGATCACGTGTCTATCCTGATGAACACCTCGCTTTTGGAACCTGACCCTGCTGACGCCTCTTGAGGGTACATCCAACCGAAGGGATACACCGGAGGAGGAATCTCCATATGCCCCTCCAGCATATTGACCACCGTGCTCATCGTCGGCCTCTCCTCCGGCTGCTCCTGCACGCACAGGAACGCCACCTTGCACATCCTCTCCGCCGCCTCCTTCCACTGCTCCTCGTCCGACGCAGCCACGGGATAATGGCATTCCTTCACGAGCTCCAACAGATTGCCCTGCTCGTACATGGTCCATGCCAGCAACGGCAGAAACTTGTGGCTCTCCGGCGCGTTGTTGTCCATGTTCTTCCTCCGGCCGATGAGCTCGAACAGGAGCATGCCGAAGCTGTACACGTCGCACCGCTCGGTGACCGGCGCCTTCCCGACACTGATCACCTCGGGCGCCATGTAGCCGAAGGTGCCACGCATGGCGTGCACGGAGGCTTGCGCGTCCGCGCGGCTGAGCAGCTGCGCGATCCCAAAGTCAGTGAGGGATCCGCGGTGGACTCTGGACTCGGACGTGCGTGCGTGCGCAGCCTCGTCTCGTCTGCCTGGGCGCCGATGCCCGGTGGAGCTTTTGGTGTTGCCGTGTTGGTGGTGCCTGGCAAGTGGCAACGTGGTGGTTGATCAAGAAGAGTGAGGTTCGGTTGGAACTTGCAGGCGGCGCTGGGCTCGCCATGCCCCCCCTCCCCCCCCTCCCCCCACGCCACCACCACCAGCGCCGCCGGAACTCCCGACCGGCGCTCGCCAGCGGCCACCCGCCGTCAGGGGCGGCTGCCACCCTCCACGCCATCCCTCAGCCACTATGCTTCGGTACCCTGTCACCCTCGCTCCTCGCCCCCCACAGCCACACTCCCTTCTTCCCCTCCGCCCCGCTCCTCCACTCCACTCCGCCCCCCCATGGATCTGCTGCACGTCCCGCGGGGGGAGGTGTTTCCGGACACACCTGCCGCTCACGTCGGACAACAAACGCACGGGGCAACACTGCCAGTGGAGACACGGATCTGGCCGTCGGTGCAAGCGAACATGGTCCTCCCCAATCTCTGCCCGCCAACTGTTCGACGAAAGACCGTGCGAAGATTGGGCTAAGCCTGCGCAGCTCTGCTACTCGGGATAAAGAGCTCGAAGCCACGGCGAGCTACGGAGGACACCGGCGTAGCTCCTCCGCCATGATCGCCGCGGCTGATGGCGGTGTCGTCTACGACGCTGTCCGTGGAGCAGAAGACGAGCATGGAGGCCGCAAGGGGCGGCCGCGAATGTGCATCATCTCCATCGACTTCGCCGACCATCCCGGTACGCAATTTCAAAACCGTCTCCTGGTAGATTATCGCTGCCCGGTTGTTAGGCCGCTGGCCACTAGTATCCCCCCCGTGGTTCTCTGGATCGCCCAGACGAACACGGCCTCCCCTGCTTCCACCGGCCAAGTAGCCAAAGTTCTTGACTTCTACTTCTGCGCCCCTCCGGAATCCTTCCCTGTCCATGACGATCTCCCCTTCATCTTCCGCACCATGGTCTCCAATGACATCGTCAAGTTCCATCTTTTACAAATCGGTGTTTGCGCCATGGACGGAGTCATCTACCACATCCACCCCGATCGTCACTCTGCTGCTCGTGACGTCATCTCTTCTGCAAGTGGTACTCCGATGGGCTCCCATTTCAAATTTCGAATCAGCTACTCTGCCCGGGCCCAACAACGGCCCGCTGCGGCCTACCACTTGTCTGACAAAACTGGCGCTCAGCAGGAAGGCAAAACAGGTTCACACGATGTGTGTCAACCCTGTGACGCCCCTGGCGATGGAAGCAAGAAATGTCTTGGCAACTGCACTTCATCCGACCACGCCCTCAATGCTTCCACCAAACCTCTCTCCTACCTCGACGCTGCTCGCCAGCTACCTAAGCCTATGCTGCAGACTACAAATCTGACGAGCGATCGTGACAACAATGCTTACTCACCCCCTTCTACCGTGCTGGGTAACTACGGTGATCGACACCTCAGTGGGACGGCTCGGCAAAAATGGACACGTCCACAAATTGACAGCTCCATGGCTGGAACGAGAGCAGCTGGTGGCAACCATGCAGCCCCTGCACGGATGAAGAGGTTCCTTAGGATCAAAGGAAAAAATACAGTGAAAATCTGCTTCCGATGTTTATCATCTGATCATTTGGTGTCCCAGTGCCGTGACCCTATAAAATGCACGTCGTGCTACTGCTCCGGACACAAGAGCACGCACTGCAAGCGACGCTACAACATGTCTTCCAAAACATCCTCCAACGATGGCTCGCCCAGAGCCCGCTCCCCGGAAACCTCGACCATGCTCACCGCAGCCGCTTCCATCATCCATGACCACTTCACCATCCCCCCGCCCACATCACCCAACGCTCCACCACCTAGCCCCGGGGAGGGATCATCCGCCCACCCGAGGCGCTCCATGGCCGAGGCCCACGTCGATAATGGCGATTACGACGACGCTAGGGTCTTTGCCTACGTCTATCTCGAGCATGCTGTCCATAGTCCGCATCTCTTCATCCGCCAGGCCATGGAACAGGCCTGCGACGCTCCCGCCTTCCAGCTGGCGGCGTCGGCCAGAGGTGCCGGCGTCATGGTGTTCAACACCCCGAAGGAGAGGGAGGAGGTCGTGGCTAGGAGCCCCATCACCCATGATGGCAACACGCTCACCATCGAGCGTCACGAGGAGGCGGACAACAGGTTCTACGCCTTCTACCGCGTCTACGCCGAGATCGCCGCGGTGGACTTCCCCCTCGAGCACTGGGACGAGGAAAGAGCGAGGGGGGCGCTGGGGGCCATCGGCAATGTCTGCTGCCTGGACCCAGCCTGTTTTGGCGGCGGAGACTACACCTCCATGCGGGCTGTGGTCCGTCTGGACCATCACCAGGAGATCCCCGACCAGCTGCTCGTGCGCAACCACAACGGTCCCGCGAGCATCGCCAACGTCTACGCCATCCGCACGTGGATCGACCCCGGGCCAGAGCCGGAATGGGGTGACTACAACTTTGGTCCCGTCCCCGCTCTGCACGCCGCGCCCTACTACCACCCCGTCGGCAACCCGCCCACCCAGCTGCCGCCTGCGCCGCAGAACCTGGTGGCCACTGTACTCGAGTGGGAGAACGACGTCGCAGACACTCCTCCGCTGCGCCCGGTCCGCACCAGGCGCGCCACGCCATACCCCGCCCGTGCGGCTCCTCCGGTGCTTGCCCTTCCCTGGTACGGGATCGGCGGGGTCCCTGAGCAGGAGACCCAGGAAGGAGGTGTGTCTGGCGGAGACAAGGATGGTGGCAAGGAGGCGGTCATGCCAGAGGAGGAGGTGGTTCCAGAGTTCGAGGTGGCCGAGGATGGAGACAACACTGCTGAGTGGCTCGCGGCTCTGGCCCTCGACGCGCCACGCGGGTTCACCACCGGTGGGCGCACTGATCTGCAGCACGAGAGCCGTGCCCAGAAACGGCGTGCCCGCCGCAAGAGGGCCAAGGACAGCGCCAGCAAGCTGAGGAGGAGCCTGCGTCTCATGGAGAAGGAAGAAGCGGGCTTTGAGCTGCCCGAAGACAAGGCGGCGCGCGTTCAGCAGTCCAAGTTCGATTTCTCTGGTGCGTCTCGTCGTCTTCGTAATGCCCTCTCTCACTCTTATCTTACCTTTGATAACCACTATCCCTCCGATGACACTGAATCCCTTCTAGATATCGCTGCTGCTTGCGGAGCCAACGAGGAAGAGATGGCAGAGATCTCAGGCGGGGCGGCTATGCCGTCCACCAGCAACTAATGTGTTACACCAGAGCCAGGCGAGATGGGCGAGCCTACTTCTACGCCAGCGAGCACCTGTGCTCCAATTTTGTACTAGGTAGTAGTAGCGCTATGCTGAACCCCACTAGTATGTGTACAAGGATGCTTCCTACAACCATGTCTACACCCTACCTCTGCAGTGTTGGTTGCTGCAAAAATAATGTACAGATGATGACGGCTGCCTGGGTACCCCGTCCCGCGCACGGTGTAGAATCTTTTATCTATGAATAGAAGCATCAAAGTCTGTAGCTGGAATGTAAGAGGCCTGAATGATCCCGTTAAATGTGGCAATGTGTTGTCTGAACTCCTATCCGCTAATCCTGACATTGTCTTGCTCCAAGAGACTAAACTGCACTCCATCCCTCCCCTAAAACTGCGGTCGTTCCTCCCTCGTCGCCTTGACAGCTTCCTCTACAATCCTGCTGTTGGCACCGCCGGCGGCATCCTTACTGCCTGGTGTAGTTCTGTCGTGCTTTCCAACAGCGCGTCATCCTCTACTCACACCCTCACTTCCCACCTCGTCTCCACCGCTTCCAACACCCCTATGGCTGTAACAAATGTCTACGCTCCTTCCACTCCTGAGCTGAGGCCATCATTCCTTGATGAACTACGATCTCTCACACCTCACCCCGATTCCCCCTGGATGCTTTTTGGCGATTTCAATATGATTCGCTACCCCCATGAAAAGAACAACCAAAATTTTCATCACTCCGAAGCTGAAGCCTTCAATGATTGCCTCAACGCCATGTGTCTGATCGAATTGCCACTCCTGGACAGGCGATACACTTGGACAAACAACCGTGACTCCCCCACCCTTGAACGACTTGACCGTGCCTTCATCAATCTTGCCTGGGACGCTGTCCTTCCTAACACTACCCTTTCTTCGCTCACTCGGCATACGTCTGATCACGTTCCTCTGTTGGTCAACGTGTCTACTCACATCCCCCAATCCAAAATCTTCCGTTTCGAGAACTACTGGATCCACTGCTCAGGTTTCAGGGGAGTCGTCGAGGCTGCTTGGCGTTGTCGGACGCCCAACAGTGACCCCGCCTGCTTGCTGGCCGCCAAGCTGAAGGAAACCAGGCGGGACCTCAAACTTTGGAGAAAGCAACAGTCTAACCTTAATCAGCAAGAGCATGATTGTAAGATTGTCATCAACCTCATCGACCGAGTAGAAGAGCGCAGACTTCTGTCGCCGCATGAGGCTAGTCTACGTACTGTCGTCGTTACTGTGCTTGGCCGCACCACCAACGCAAAGCTACTGCTCTGGAAGCAGAGAGCCAAAATCAGAGCTGCTGTAGAGGGCGATGAAAATACACGCTTCTTTCACGCGTGTGCGAATCAACGCCGGAGAAGAAACAACATACAAGTTTTGGAACACAATGGATGCGAGGTCCACGGGCATGAACAGAAAGCTGCTGTCCTTCATTCGTTTTACCTGAACCTCCTGGGAACGTCGACTGAAACCACTTGGGATTTTGATCTGAATGGCTTGTACCCGGATGATGCCCAGCACCTTGCTGGTTTGGATGGCGAGTTCGAACCTGAAGAAATCCGGTCTGCTTTCCGAAATATGCACTCCACCGCAAGTCCAGGTCCTGACGGCTTTGGATCTCTCTTCTTCAAACATTCCTGG